TCCTTAGCCACTCATCCCTCCATGGTCATCAGGGAAGGGAACCATGAAGTCCCCTCTCTGTAGATCTGAAGCTACAGGCGATTACATCATAGGCAGGAATGAAAGCCCTTTTCACGGTGCACCATTTTGCCTCCCAAACACTGCCCTGATCTGTCAGCAAGTAGGTAACATACACTTCAGCATCTTATGTGTAAGAACCCCGAGCTTTGGGTTGGTGGTCAGGAAAAGTCCACATCATTAAAGGAAATAATTCTGATTTTTTTAATCAATGTGATATTCTTCAATAAATATCTTTCCCATGAAACTGGCATCATCTGAGCGTTTAGAAGTGTGTACTGAATAAGCATGTGCAGTAGTTGAAATCAGGTGAGCTTAGACACTCAGCTGGTCTATCACTGGTTTTAACGCTCCCAGCCGCTGGAGGGAGCTATTACCACTGCCCACTTGAAAATGGTTCTGAACACACAGTTGAGTTCAGTTCAGTTGCTCAGTCGTGTCTGACTCTTTGCGACCCCATGGACTGCAGCACGCCAGGCCTCCCTGTCCTTCACCATCTCCCGGAGTTTGCTCAAACTCATGTCCATTGAGTTGGTGATGGCATCCAACCATCTCATCCTCTGCTGTCCCCTTCTCCTCCTGCCTTCAATCTTTCCCAGCATCAGGGTCTTTTCGAATGATCAGTTCTTCAAATCAGGTGGCCAAAGTATTATTGGAGCTTCAGCTTCAACATCAGTCCTTTCAATGAATATTCAGGACTGATTTCCTTTAGGATGGACTGGTTGGATCTCCTTGCAGTCCAAGAGACTCTCAAGAGTCTTCTCCAGCACCACAGTTCAAAAACATCAATTCTTCGGCACTCAGCTTTCTTTATAGTCCAACCCTCACATCCATACATGACTACTGGACGCACAGGAATGGTGTTTAACACACAAATGAAAGGTTTGGGGAAAATGGTCAACCCTGAATATGGTCTATAAGTCTACTTAACAGAGATGCAGCAGGGTCATACTCTTGGTTTCTACCTCCTACTGCAGCCAGCTGAGATGTCACCACTAGGGGACTCCAGGCTAAGAGCACACAGGACTCAGTACAAGATCCCTGTGAGTCTGTAATTCTTTCAGAATAAAAGGTTAAAATATGTTTGTATTCCTTGTCATGAACAGTGTGGCTGTATACATGTGCTCAGTCGCTCAGCAACACCATGGACTATAGCCTGCTAGGATCCTCTGTCCGTGGAGTTTTCCATGCAAGAATACTGGAGTGGGTTGCCATTTCCTTCTCCGGGGATCTTCCCCATCCCAGGCTCGAATCCTTGTCTCCTGAATTACAGGTGGATTCTTTACCACTGCGATAACTGGGAAGCAATGGTACATACCAGGATATGAATTCTCATTTTGTTCTCCCTGATACCCAAAAGAGTTACTGTTTTCCCCACACACAAACTCCAAGGAGACAGCCACATACTTGTTCTGGTTCCCCGCCTGCTGGGAAGAAGTTACCGACTATGCTTTTCAAAACCCTGGGCTGAGAGAGGTGAGGAGGCTAGATGATCCCTGGGAAAAAAGACCTTGGAGTTTAGGGCTTGGAGCTGAGAAGATGGAAGCAGCCAGATTTAAGAGAGAAGGAGGTGGATGTTCCAGGTGGTGCCAGGACATACCTGATGCAAAAGCTGAGCCAGGGACTCTTGGAGCATCAGGGCAGCACCTGGACATGGTGCTCGGAGAAGCATCGACTGTGGTCAGAGGGCTGGTCACTGTGAGAGGCATGGCCGCATCCAGCCAGGGCAGAGGGCCTAAGCCATGCTGAGAGACCAGCATTAACAGTTTCCAATGGGCATCAGGAAACCCACATCACAGCAGGACCACCATAAAGAACCACAGCCCTCTCACCTCCAGTCACCCCTGAAGACCCCAGGATGACTCTCATGCCCCTGGAGAGTGGGTCTCTGAAATGGTTCACCTAGATTGAGTGAAGTGGAGGCATGCCAGAAGTGGAGGCATGAAGCAGATAATATGATGTCTAGAGAAATCAATGAAGCTGAAGGTCCACGACCATAAGTTCTAAAAACTAAACCTGGATTTAGCAGCAGCAGCAGCCCACAAATCCAATATTATTTAAATCCCTCTCAGAGTGTTGGTTAGAAATGGAAATACAGGGAGCCGCTGTTTAGTTACAACAGGCTGGAGCAGCAAAAGCTAAGAATTCATGATATCTCCCCAAGATGGTTTCAACAGAGCCAAGGTTTGTACCTAAAAGCCTTGGATTTATCTGAATTGTGATATCTAGAAGAACCTACTACATGTGAATGGTACTTTAAAAATCCATGTCACAAAGGTAGAACACAGTGATCTAATTGGCCTTTCTGCTCATCACAGATAAGCCTGTGTAAGCCTGGATGCACAGCTGGGAAAGACATGATGACAAAGAGCTGAGACAGCCATCTCAACCTTGAAAAACAACCCCAAACCAGAAAAACAGACAGAAGGTTCTTGAAGCACAAAATGCAATCATTCTAAATATCAGATCCCTTTTGTCTCTGTTTAAAATTTTAATCAGGTTTTCTATGTATTCAATCCCAAAGCTAATCATGTTATTATATCATTTTTAATGTTCTCTGACAGATCATGCTTTTCTCCCTTATTTAACTGAATTACAGTAAGTCATAGGGCATGCATCACTTGTTAAATGAGAAAAAGTCAAAATCTTTCTTTATGTAGAATAAAAAATTGCTAGTCACTCAATCATGTCCAACTCTTTGAGACCCCATGGACTGTAGCCCACAAGGCTCCTTTGTCCTTGGAATTCTCCAGCCAAGAATACTGGAGTGGTTTGCCATTCCCTTCTCCAGGGGATCTTGCCGACCCAGGGACTGAACCTGTGTCCCTTGCATTGCAGGCTGATTCTTTACCATCTGAGCCGCTAGGGTAGAGTAAATATTATTAAGGAATTGATAATTAACATTGATGTTAATTAATTATTAACTTTAATTCATCTAAAATAAAAATGTCTCTAAACTTCGTCATTCCTTCACCACAGCCCACGCAAAAATACCAAAACAATGTTTTTAGTTCCTATGGGGATCCACAAGATTGTAATTTATTTTGCAAAGTGCTCACAATTTCAGAAAATATTAACAAGAGAATCCCCGGGCTGAATGGCTTATCACTTCTCTGAACTAACCGGCCCAACTGATAAGCCAGAAAGCTGAAGCCAGCAGGCTGTGGCCTCAAGATGCTGTCTTCCTCTTATGTCTCATGAGAGAAAGGGAGTGGGGTGTAACATTTCTTTCCTTTGTTTCTCTGCCTTAAAAAGAGCAAACTGAATTTCAATGTCTAAATCAATAATTCTGTACCAGTGTATTAGGCAATCCATGCAAAGTCAGATTATAAAATGTTTTAAAAGATTTTTATAATCTCCAAGATAATTAAACGGTCACTCCATTTCATGTTAAATTGTTTATTTCAATTATACAGGTTTGCCATGAAATCCCACCTAACTTCTAAGCAAAGACTGAAGAAGATTTGGTCTTTCTTCAAAATAGAAATGTCAAAGGGTCTTAAATTATCAACACTGAAATAGCAGTGTTCAAACATAAGGGAATTTACTGCCCTCATTGCTCCCAAATTTAAGTTCCTTGAGATAAAGATAAACTGATGCCATCTCACATTTTCCATAGCAAGGCTTTCAGTCTTGGCCCCTTTCCCAGTCACAGTCTCTCTGCTGGGAACAAGGGTCCAACATCTTAAGAGCTGTTCACACCTCTCCTGGAATCAATAAATAGGGACAAATGCAAACCACTGGGCTTTGGTAAATAATCTTTGCTACAATTGGCCCAAAGCAGAAACCCGCTGAAACGCTCCTGATTTCTACCCTGCCCATTCAGGCTCCCTTGGTGCCAGGGTCTCTCCTTTGCCTAGCTTCCCAGCCACATTTTCAGAATTCTTTGAATAAGTACCCCACCTGACCCCCATTATCTTAGCTTGGTGCTTCCAGAACCACAATCCCCACTTGGCCTTTTACCCTGCAGCCGCTGCATTGGAACCTTTTAGAAGTAGCCTTGCATCAGCTGGGTCCTGCAGTTCCTCTGACTGGCCTCAAATTGGAGGCCTCAGATCCCTCCCCCACAGCTCCTCTTATCCTCAGCTCCTGTTGGCTTCCCACAAATCCTCTTGGTGGAGTATGTCAGCTACAAATCGTCACTTGCCATCTACCTCTACAAGAATTAAACCATGAGCCACTGCAGCTGCTGACCTTCAACACCCCCAGAGAGGAGTTCAGGGTGGAGATCAGGAATGAGGCCCTCTGTGCCCTGGGAGGAATTGACAGAACAAGTCCTCAGATAGATATTTTCAGGACTAGATTTTATGAGCCCAATTCTTGCACCTCCTCATATCTAGAAAAGCACCAAAATCCTTCATGGTGATGACAGCTCCTCAAGACTACCAGAAACCTTCTGCAAAATATATAAGCTTGATTGCATGTACCTCTCCTTCAGAAAAATCATATATACTGACCTTCCCCCTACCTCTTTGAAGCGGTTTCTCAGAGCTAACTGAAATGCTGTCTCCCAGGCTATAGTCCTCATTTTGCCCCAAATAAAGCTTAATTCACAACTCTCACATTGTGCATTTTTTAAGTCAACAAGTATGATAGGAGTTCATCAATACTTACGAACAAGGCATAAGGTCCCTTGTTTCTGAAAGAACATGAACCCAACCTAACCCGAACAACACAATGACAAGCTTTGTGTAGCCTGTCACTCCAGGCCTGAGTTCAGGCCCTTCCTCTATCTTCCTTTCAGCCTTCACCCACCTCACACACAGCAGTTAACATGTTAAGTGAAAATTACCTGCTGCCTCCTGGCTAATCCCTCAGTTCCTCACTTTTGAGCTCACTATTGTGTGCCCAGAAAGATTCCCAGCATCTGGTCAGAGCTCAATAAATGGTTATTGAATAGAACTGAATCCAGTGAAACTACAGTGAGAAAAGCAGACACTCACATTCTTCTCTTGGGATCCGGCAAGGTCACCCACATCTTCATCACCCTCTTTTTGTTCTCCACTTTCTTCAGCCTTCTCTGTTCCCTGGTCACAAAGGAAACCCATGGTATCACCAACCTTGGATAAGCTTCCAAGACAACACCAGGCCATAACTGCTACAGTTTCCTTATTTAGATACAGTGTATAAATGAAGCAAAGGTAGATCTCTATTTACTAGTCACTTAACTCCTAGAGTATAGGATCACCAACCCTCAACATTGCTAATTGGATCTATCAGTGTCAATGAACAGCCTCGACTCACATGAATGGTAGAGTCATAAAGACCCTAATTGGAGCTAATTCATCCATTTAAGCCTTGTGAAGAGAACTTCAAAGGATTCCATATTTAGGGAGTATTTGTTTTCTATTGCTTATATGGAAAGAGGCATTATAATTTTAGAGATTAAAAAAGATAGATGATAGAGATAAATGATAGATGATTGATAGATACATAGAGAAATGGTAGATGTGATGGATGGATGGATAGATAGTTGGATGGGTAGCTAAATAGGTGTGATGGATGAATGGATAAATAGACAGATAAATGTGATAGATGGATGGATGGATAGATCGATAGATAGATAGATGGATGGATGGGTGAGGTAGACAGAAAAACAGATATGGAAAAACTAGAACCCAGAAGACATTCTATGTAAAACAGGTTTCCTGGAAGATGGTTCAAGACACCAACTCTTACCTCTGTGGTGCTCTGAGCCTCTCCTGCCACATCACCATCAGGAAGGGAAGATGCTTCCTCAGGCGACTTTGTCACCTGCATCACAGAAATGGAGAATGTTTGATAGTTTTCTTGAGGATACTGGCTTGCATTTCAACACCTTTTAAGTCTCCAAACTAAATTTGTCTTCACCCCTCACTTTATCTTCACTATGATGCTCTAACCAAAGTCAGTAGATAGTCACCACCACTCACACCTAAGAAACAAGAAAATAAGGCAAAAATTGTCACTCTGCAAGTTAGGGGCAGGGCTAGGATACACCTTCTACTTTATGTTTTCCTGACCTATCCAGTGGTTTCCAGCCTTTTAAAGTGCTAGTTTATTTTTCTCATCAGAAGTAAATCCTAACTATGTGAGGTAACAGATGTTAAATAAACTTACTGTGGTGATTATTTCACATATCTACACATATCAAATCATTGTGTTGCACTCCTTAAATTCATACAATGTTATCTTTCAATTATATCTTAGTAAAGTGGGGTGGTTTTTTAAACTTTTTATTTTATATTGTAGTATAGCCAATTAACAATGTTGTGATAGTTTCAGGTGCACATCTGAGTGACTCAGCCATACATATGCATGTATCATTCTCTCCCAAACTCCCCTCCCATCCAGGCTGCCACATAACATTGAGCAGAGTTCCCGTGCTATGCAGTAGGTTCTCACTGTGCGCGTCTGTGAGTGTGTGTTAGTCACTCAGTCATGTCTGACTCTTTATGATCCCATGGGCTGTAGCCTGCCGCCAGGATTTTCTGTCTATGGAATTCTCCAGGCAAGAATACTGGAGTGGGTAGCCATTCCCTTCTCCAGGGGATCTTCCCAACCTAGAGATTGGACCCAGGTCTCCTGCTTTGCAGGCAGATTCTTTGCCATCTGAGCCCCCAGGGAAGTCCAGGTTCTCATTAGTTATCTATTTCACACATAGCCTGTGTGTGTCCGTGTCAATTCCAACCTCCCAATTCATTCCACGCCCCTTCCTCCTTTGGTGTCCATGTGTTTGTTCTCTACATCTGTCTCCAGTTCTGCTTTGCAAATAGGTTCATCTATACCATTTTCCTAGATTCCACATCCACATGCAAGATGTGGATGGACCTAGAGACTGACATACAGAGTAACATAAGTCAGAAAGAGAGAAACAAATATCACATAATAATGCATAAAGATTTGGTGATTTTTATTCTGTTTTTTTTTTTTAATTTATTTATTTATTTATTTTTTTTAATCACAACCATAGTGTATCTTTTCTTTTTTTTTTTTACATGTATTCCCCATCCCGGTCCCCCCTCCCACCTCCCTCTCCACCCAATCCCTCTGGGTCTTCCCAGTGCACCAGGCCCGAGCACTTGTCTCATGCACCCAACCTGGGCTGGTGAACTGTTTCACCCTAGATAATATACGTGTTTCAATGCTGTTCTCTTGAAACATCCCACCCTCGCCTTCTCCCAGAGTCCACAAGTCTGTTCTATACATAGGAGTCTCTTTTTCTGTTTTGCACATAGGGTTATCGTTACCATCTTTCTAAATTCCATACATATGTGTTAGTATACTGTAATGGTCTTTATCTTTCAGCCTTACTTCGCTCTGTATAATGGGCTCCAGTTTCATCCATCTCATTAGAACTGATTCAAATGAATTCTTTTTAATGGCTGAGTAATATTCCATGGTGTATATGTACCACAGCTTCCTCATCCATTCATCTGCTGATGGGCATCTAGGTTGCTTCCATGTCCTGGCTATTATAAACAGTGCTGCGATGAACATTGGGGTACACGTGTCTCTTTCAGATCTGGGGTGATTTTTATTCTGAAGGCACTTCAAGTTCATGGGAACAAATTGGGCCATAAACACACCCTCCAATCCCATGCTCCTACAATACTCAATATTAAAATATTCATATGTATTCAACTCTATCTTAACATATACATAGGCTATTTTTGTTTCATCTTTGTGTTTTTTAAAAACAATAAATAGGTACATACTATGCACAACTTGATTCTTTAGCTTAATATATCATGGGCATTTGTCCAGATTAATTCATATGGTTGTAACTCATTCATATTAACATTTGCTTAATGTTAAAAATATAGTAACTTATTCATATATTTCCCAACTGATGGCTATTCAGAAAGTTCACATTTGTGCTTCTACAAACACTATACTGAACTGAATAAAGGCATGCTAAATCACTTTTTTTTTCATTTATTTTTATTAGTTGGAGGCTAATTACTTTACAATATTGTAGTGGGTTTTGTCATACATTGATATGAATCAGCCATGGATTTACATATTAAATCACTTTTTTAAAAAAAGAAATTTTTTGTTTTGTAGCCTTTTATATACACAAATCGGAGAAGGCAATGGCATCCCACTCCAGTACTCTTGCCTGGAAAATCCCATGGATGGAGGAGCCTGGTAGGCTGCAGTCCATGGGGTCGCTGAGAGTCAGACACGACTGGATGACTTCACTTTCCCTTTTCACTTTCATGCGTTGGAGGACATGGCAACCCACTCCAGCGTTCTTGCCTGGAGAATCCCAGGGATGGGGGAGCCTGGTGGGCTGCCGTCTATGGGGTTGCACAGACTCGGACACGACTGAAGCGACTTAGCAGCAGCAGCAACATATACACAAATTTATCTAACTTTTGGGGCTTCCTAGGTGGCACTAGTGGTAAAGAGAGAGAAAGAGAGTGAAGTCTCTCAGTCATGTCCAACTCTTTGCAACTCCATGGACTGTAGCCTACTAGGCTCCTCCATCCATGGAATTTTCCAAGCAAGAGTACTGGAGTGGGTTGCCATTTACTTCTCCAGGGGAGTGGTAAAGAACCTGCCTGCAAATACAGGAGACCTAAGAGATGGGATTTGATCCCTGGGTCAGGAAGATCCCCTGGAGGAGGGCATGGCAACTAACTCCAGTATTCTTGCCTGGAGAATCCCATGGACAGAGGAGCCTGGCAAGCTATAGGCCATGGGGTTGCAAAGAGTCAGACATGACTGAAGCAACTTAACATGCACACATCTAACTTTTATTTTCTGACATGTAGTTATTTTATATTAATTATTAACATCTAGTGATTTAATCAACGTGAAGTCTAATTTTGTGTATAATATAAAGTAGGGCTCTCTTTTCTTCCAGATAGATGAAAAAGTATGCCTGTAACATTTATATACCACCATTGTCCTTTCAATTAAGACGCTATTTTTGTCATTTATAAAATTCTATATATACATTTGGATCTGTTAACACACTAGTCTATATATAAATATATAAACATATCCATGGATGTATTTATTTTTTCCCTTGGATGTATTTATACGTTCCCATGCCAATATGTAGCTTTTATCACTGTAGCTTTAACATGAATTTTAATATTCAGAAAGACAAGCTGCTACAGAGTCTCCTTTTTCAAAATTTTTTGGCTCTTCTCAGACATGTATTATTCCAGTACATTTTAAGATCATTTTCCCCAGTGTCAACAATTTTTAAGTAGGCTTTTCTTTGAAATACCACTAAATGTATTTATTAGTTTAGAGATTTTCACTTCTTATTCTTAAGTCATCTCACCTAGGGCATCATACTCTCCCCATAACTTTAGTACTTGTTGGTGTCCTTCAGGTAAATTTACTCCTAAACATTTTAAAGATTTTTATCACCATTGTGAATGGGATTTGTTTTTTACATTTTAACTTCTCATCCATTATAGTTGATATAAGTAAAAGCTACTACTTTTTCCATTCTTTAATCCAGAAACTGTATGTTATTAATTCTAATGAATTTTACTGAAGTCTGTTGAAATTTCTAAGTATACGTTTACATCATACACAAATGAAGATATTTTTTATATATCATACATTACATATATATGAGATAGTTCATTTTCTTACTTTAGTGTAATAACTACAGCTTCTAAAACAATGTTTAATAATATGTCCATTACTCCTCTGTCCATGAGATTCTCCAGGCAATAATACTAGAGTGGGTATCTGTTCCCTTCCCAACCAAGGCATCAAACCCAGGTCTCCCACATTGCAGGCGGATTCTTTAGCATCTGAGCCACCAGTGAAGCCCAAGAATACTGGAGTGAGTAGCTTATCCTTTCTCCAGGTGATCTTACTGACCCAGGAATTAAAACCAGAGTCTCCTGCAATGCAGGCAGATTCTTTACCATCTGAGCTACCAGGGAAGCCCAATAGCCACAGTTTCTAAAACAATGTTTAATAATATGGTGATGATGGACATGCCTATTGTCTTTTGATTTTAATAGAAATGCTTCAGTATTTCATGGTTTATAATGATAGTTTCCTTTTGACAATTGGTTTTTATCACATTTAATCAGTTTCATTCGCTTATATTTTAATCCATGTTTATTTTTTTTAATCCATGTTTATTTTTAACTAGGAATATCTGATTAATTATATCCAATATCTTCTTGGTACTTATAGACAGAAACTTATAGTTTTTCTCCATTAATAAGTTCATGTAATGAACTATGTCAATAGAAAAAATTCTGCTTTAATTAATTACCTGTAACCCACTGCTAGATAGAGTTCGCTAATACATTATTTAGGCTTTTCCCATCCAAATTCGTAACAGAAATTGATCTAAATATAACTGAAAGTTTTCTAAGTAACGCCTCAACTGATCAGGTATTTTATCTATTTTATTTGTTTGTTCAAATTATATATAGCCAAATTACATATATGAGACTTCCCAGGTGGTCCAATGGTTAAGAATCTGCCTTGCGATGCTGGGAATGCAAGTTCGATCCCTGGTCAAGGAACTAAGATTTCACATGCTGTGGAGCAACTAAGCCTGGGTGCCCATTAACTACTGAGCCCACGTACCACAGAGCCCATGCTCCACACCCAGGGAGTCCACACACCACAGCAAAAGATCCTGTATGATCAAACTGAGACCCCAAGCAGCCAAGTAAACAATAATAAAACAAATAAATATTTTTAATTCATATAAATGTATTCAAGTTCAGTCACACAGTAATGTCCAACTCTTTGCAATCCCATGGACTGCAGCATGCCAG